TCAGCTCACTGCAACCTTTACCTCCTGGGTTCAAGTGATTCTCCTGCCTCAGCCTCCCAAGTAGCTGGGATTACAGGCACCCACCACCATACTTGGCTAATTTTTGTATTTTTAGTAGAGACAGGGTTTCACCATATCGGCCAGGCTGGTCTTGAAGTCCTGACTTCACAAGACCTGCTGCCTAGGCATACCAAAGTGCTGGCATTATAGGAGTGAGCCACCATGTCTGGTCTCAAATTTCTTAACTTGACATTCAAGGCCATAAACCTCTGGCTGTGGGTTCCTATCTAGTTCCCACCTTCCTCTCTCCTAATCCACTCCATGCACACATCCCTCCTGCCTACCTGGCTCCCCCAACAGAGCCTTGTGCCTTTGTTTCCTTCACCAGGGACCTCCTGTTTCCTTTTCCAGGGACCTCCTTCCCCTCATTTTCATATATCAAATCCTACTCATACTTTAAACCTCAGCTCAAGTGCCACCTCCTTGTCAGGTTTTTAAAAGTTCTTCCCATCAGAAAATAACCTCTCCCCCTGACACTTCCCTCTCTTGGCAATTTGTCTTTATGCTTGCAGTACTTAGCACATTCCACCTTACAGATATTGATGCATGGGTCTTGTTGCCCCTACTGACTGGCAATCTAATTCACTTCTGTAGTCTTCCCCGGCACACAGTAAGTGCTCAATAAACACTCGAAATAAATGAATATCTGTTTCTCTAATCCACGCATGGTGCAAATGAAATGCAAATAAATATGCAACTATCCATTTTTCTGTGGCCCAGACTTTTATTTATGTAAAATCTTCAAACGTGCTTGGGGTCAATGTGTGCTTGTCTGCAGGGTCAGGGTTCCTAATTGAACTCTCATGTATTAGTCTGTTTTCACACTGCTATAAAGAACTACCTGAGACTGGGTAATTTATGATGAAGAGGTTTAACTGACTTACAGTTCTGCAGGCTTAACAGGAAGCATGACTGGGAGCCCTCAGGAAACTTACAATCATGGCGGAAGGTAAAGGGGAAGCAAGGACCTTCTTCACAAGGTGGCAGGAAAGAGAGAGAGAGAAGGGGGAACTGCCACATACTTTTAAACCATCAGATCTCATGATAACTCACTTGCTATCATAAGAACAGCATGGGGGAAACTGCCCCCATGATCCAATCACCTCCCACCAGGTCTTGTGGGGATTACAATCCGAGATGAGATTTGGGTAGGGACACAGAGCCTAACCATATCACCTCAGGAATGAGTTGAGCCCAGAATTTCAACCAAAGGTCAGCAGTACACGTGAATGGGCCATTCAGCAGAATAGTAGATGATTCTCCTGGAAGAATCTATTCTCCAGTCAGAAAGATCATGTTCTACATTTATGACGGCATGCTTAATCTGGATAGTTAAGAACCTCTTTTCCCTATTTTTGAGGGGACTTCAATAACAGGTGTCACCAATTTAAGGGGCAGGGTTCTGAGTCTGGAAGATTTCTGATTACCGTTTCTCCAATCTTCTCCAGGATTGGACAAAGCCACATTCCTTGGTTGCATGATGAGGCCCAGCCACAAAACAGAGTCCACTGGGAGATTCCTTGTTCTGTTCTCTGAGATTATTTCACCTTTATTCTAGATTCTACATAGAATCCACCAGATTTGGGGATTCACCCACTGGCACTAAACATGGCACAGGGCCCAAGAGATGTGCTTGGAGTCAGGTAAGAAGTAAAGTCTGAGAACCCAATAAAACCTTTAGTGGACAAACACCTGTGAATTAGGACCACAGCTGCTTGGCAGGCTGACTCCTCTCTTTACAGCAAACCTGGTTGTTATGGTGATAGGAAGTAAATGAAACTGGGAGAGGACTGTGAAATGTTACTGTGGGAAAAGGGGCTTCTGGGCCTTATATAAGTCATGTTCCAAATATACACCTTTGAATAAGAGGCAAGGAGTCCATAACTCAGCTCCTAGGCATTGCGCGGCGTCGTAATATCAATAAAACCCCCGCCGATTTTTCCAAGCCTGTCTCTGCCTTCATTTATATTACACGGGGGTCCTGAATGGTTATGATTCTTGAGAAAGGAGTCCAGTTTCTTGAAATATCTACTTTCAGGAAAAGGAACCCAATACTAGTAAAATGGTTCCCCCAGGAGCCAAAAATTAATCAATCAATGGAATAAGCACCTTGTTTTAAGAATATCCAAGACTGCGATTTATTTACTTCTGCCTCTGATAGAAGTTTTAGAAAGAAAGACTTAGGCTGCCCAAATACCTTTAGTAAAAGGAGAAATTTTCCATTGATTCTTCTTCTTATTATTTTGTTGTTGTTGTTGTTGTTATCTTCAAAGCTAAGCTTTGAATTGAAAGTGGAAACTGGAGCCCAAGGCAGCCTCATGGCCAGTGAACACGGTTGTAGAAGTCAGGCCCAGGGCCCAGTTCAAGTCTGCCTCTCACTAGTTTTGGGACTTGGGGCAAGTTTCTTACCTCCCTCCAGCGTAGCTTCCCCATGTATGACCCAGGGGGCCAGAACCATTGTATCCACAACTCAATCATCTTGCCTCAAGAGCTGGTGACTTTTTTGTCACCATCAGCATGATTTTAAAGGAAAGCCTGATTGATGACCTGGTGACCCTAAGAACTAGCTGTTGTCTAATGCTCTCGGATTCCATGGGGCTCTCTCATAGGTGTCATTTCATATCATGACCATGACAATCCAGCCAAGGAAGTACCTTGATTCCCATTTTACAAACATGATCAGACCAAAGTGACTTGACCACCAAGCTCACAGTGCAATGATCAGAGATTAAGGACATGATCCCAGGCCTGATTGACACCAAGTCTGGAGTCCTGCCAGGACACATGCTGCTCCTCTATCAGTGATACTTCAGAGGGAGATTCTTGAACCAGGGCACTGACCAGAATGATGAGTTCTAAGGTATGTGCTTTTAGCAATAAATGAGGAGGCTGGATGAAAACAGGGGTTCTAAAAACTTCTCATAGTAGGAAGAACTTCTCATAGAAAACTTCTTTAGTCCCTTCTCTTCAAAAGAAATCTAATAAATCTAATGTAGAGTGCCAACATATGAAATAGATAATTGTAGCATTCCTCTGGTTGAAAAAGAGATGGCATCCACCCAAATGCCCATCAACTGACAAACAAATACTAAATGTGGTCTATCATCTTATGGAATATTACTCAGCTGTAAAAAGGAATCAAATACTGACACATGCCACAACAAGGGTGAACTTCGAAAATATTATAGTAAGTGAAAGAAGCCAATCACAAAAGACTGCATATGGTATGATTCTATTTAGATGAAATATCCAGAATAGCTAAACCCACAGAGACAGAAAGCAGACTGGTGGTTGCCGGGGACTTGGGGTGAAGGGGGTTGGGGATGGAGAGTGATTGCTTGATGGTTTCCTTTTTGAGTGGCAGAACATTGTGGAGCTAGCTAGCGGTGATGGTTGCACAACTTTGTGAACGTACTAAATGCCACTGAATTGTAAGCTTTTAAATGGTTCATTCTATCATTCGTGAATTTTACCTCCATTTATGTAATGTTTCCAGAATCCCACCCCATAAGCCTCCTCCTCACCATGTCACTAAAGAGCCTCCACAAAACCCTAGTAAGAAAGTCAATTGAGTCACTACATATTACAAAACACTACCTTTGCCAAAATAGTTCACATATGATAGATGTTTTCCTCCTTCAGGAGCCAAAGGTAATTTCTCCTAACACATGAAATAAATATAAGCCAGTGACATCTCGCTACCTGGAAACAGAACCTTCCATTGGTAACCAGCTCCAATGTCGATTCTAGTCCACAGTAATCAAGCACCTTCATTTTTAGGATACACTATTGGTTTTAAACTTTAAAAATCTATTTTAAGTATACCAGGAAAGAGAACAACAACTAAGCATTGCTTTTTCTTTCATGTCCAGTAGATACTTCACTGTTGAGTAGTAAACTCAGCATTATCAAGTGCCTACTATACATTAAAAGTTTTTCTCATTTATTTTTATTTTTATTTATTTTTTGAGACACAGTCTTACTCTGTCACCCAGGCTGGAGTACAGTGGCACAATGTTGGCTCATGCAATCTCCACCTCCCGGGTTCAAGTGATTCTTGTGCCTCAGCCTCCCAAGTAGCTGGGATTACAGGCATGCACTACCACACCCAGCTAATGTTTGCATTTTTAGTATAGATGGGTTTCACCATGTTGGCCAGGCTGGTCTTGAACTCCTAACCTCAAGTAATCTGCCCACCTCAGCCTCCCAAAGAGTTGGGATTACAGGTGTGAGCCACCGCGCCTGGCCTCTCATTGTTTATTTGAACATCATTATCCCCATTTTACAGAAAAAGATACTGAGGCTCAAAACAGCCATGCAGCACCCCCAAGGACTCACACCAGTTGGTGAGAGAGTCAGGACTGGAATCTCAGGCTCTTCAGCTCCAGAGAAGGCACTCTCAACTATGCCAAGGTGGGTGTAGCAGCGTCGAGTTCGTCCCCCTGACGACTACTATCAGTCCCCCAAGAAACTGACCCCAGGCTACAAGACTCAGAGGTGGCAAAGATGCACGATGCATGGACACAGGTCTGGGGCCCCTTCTGATGTCTCCTCTGCATCCGTCCAGAGCAGTCTGGGGAGATGAGGAGTTCAGGGCATCTACTTTTTTTCTTCAGTCTGTGCGGGGAAGTAAAGATCCACTTCAGCAGTCTTGCTGACAAACTGTTCTCAAGAAATAACTAATGTTGGGCAGACACTTCAGACCCTCTCTTGCTAAAGAGTTGAAGGGAAAGGCTGGGATTCCATTTGTTGTTTTTTTT